TTACCCCCTCCCTCCCATACCTAAATGAGATCCATTCGCTGTCAGACGGGAGAGGTGAATGAACGAAGAACTGAGAGGGAACAATGACGTTCGTGCCTCTTGAGATCATCAACGACATAGCAAAAGATCGTCGATCATATGTAGTTGTTTTCTTAGTTGATTGGGGCATTTAGCTGTAATCATATTTGACCGAGTGACCTGCTTCAAATGGTACCTTTGGGACATCGCCCATTCCTACTATTGCCATTGTTCGGTTTATATGTTTTTATACGGTGTACAATCTCATAGCAGACTGCACGATCAGTACAAGGCGGACAATCGATTAATTATTAGATTTAAACAATGAAATCATGTACAGCAACACAATGTCAGTATTTATAGGTTTAATATCAAATGATCAGTTTTCCATGCCGCCGGTAAAAATAACAATCTCTTGTCAATTCTTTGGATTTGCAGGACGTTGTTGCACCGTCCCTTCCTAACGGACCGTTTAAGCAGGGCAGGACTTCATGATACTTTAGCACCATGATCTAAATGGATGTAACTTTCCGCTTTTACCATGGACATTTCAGTGCTTGTTATTCTGGCAATCCCCAGAATATCTGATAACGTGTGCCTTGTCTTTAACCGGTTTATGGAATTCATCCATCAGATTATGCCGCTGCATTTCAGAAAAGGATTGCACCTGAAGAAATACCTTTTTTAAAACATGGTTGTTGGGAGCCATGAACTTTGAATGTGGCGCTTGAGACTACTCTAAACAAATCACTGCCTGACAATAATGTTCCATCAGGGGAAACAGTCTTCAATGCCATAGAGCTGTTTTCTTGCCATTGCGACATCAAATGTACCAGTAATATGGATATTTGCATATTTTAAAATATGTACCATCTAAAGTGCACTATTAATCGTTATGTCACAAACAATAAAATAAAAAATTTGTTCAACCAAAATGTTGCATTAGGTGATTTCAGCTGAGCTGATAACCTCTTACTGTCGTGCCGACTTATACCTGATTTTTTGAGTTCAAAATGCGTCTTCGTTCATCGTCCATTCTCACATATGGGTTACTGCATCCATCCACCATTAATGTCAAGTATCATCATACATTGACCTGCCTATGTGTCGCGATAGGCTTCAAAATCTTGCTGCGAGGGTAGAGGGTTGTGTATGTTTCCGTCTGATCCAATGTAATGACTTCCATCTGCGACGGTGTTGGCTTTAACCAAATTTATTTTGCTGTAAATAAATAAACTTTTTTTACAATACTTTCTGTCCAATAAGCAATACTGTGGAGTAGGGCACGGATTTTGCTCGGACCACAATTTGGAGTTGGCAGAGGAACATATCGTTGTTCGTCCCAACTCAGGGAGGCGATACAATATCTATGCACTAACAGTCCTCAAATGCTATGCAGTCATGGCATTATATGCCAAAATGGTATCCCTAGCTATTTTGAAGCAATAGGTGGTGTAATTTCTGATAGAACAACGGCATATAGCATGCGTCTATCATTCGAATCACTGAATTCGCAGATGAATGATTATGGCTTCGAATCGTGACCACGTAATACACCATTCATCCTTTGATTGTAGAAAATGAGTACCAGCATATACGGAGAATGCAAATTCCATATGCCCATGTAACTTTCGATTATGCATTTGAAAATTGCCTATTCCTAGTCGATAATATCATACCCAAAATCAATGCCACAATGAACGCCGTGAAAAAGTGATGCTGCAAATCTTGGAAGTGTACAGAACACCAGCATCTCAACAGTTGCAAACATTGTGGTCACTTTAGTCATAACGATGGGGGTTGCTCCGGCAGCAACGGGTTGTACTCAGAGTCGAGAGTTCCTGAGTTCGAGGTACAAGCTTGTCACTCGAGGGAACGATGCGCGGACTGCACGATATAGCGATTACCAAGGCACTCCTGACTGACGGCTTTGAGAAATGGAGATTAGCGTCGAGAAGAAGAACGAGGCAGATGATGGCTACTATGGAAGAGCAATGGAAACCAACGATTCAACAATTACAAACCATCTTATCTTATTTATTCGAGGGTGATCCTCCTTCAACACCATATAACCTGAAACAAATT